CGAGCGCCGGCAGGACGCGGGGGCACTTTGCAGCGACAGTTTTGGTTTTTGCGACTCGATTATAGAGGTGGCTGCGCACAGCCAACAATGGGCGTGGGCACAATGTCTATCTACATACATACATATGTACATATGTGTGAGATTTGCTGAGAGTGGGCCAGAGTCGAGCATATGTTAAGTTGTCGACATGAAAGTTTTTTCGCCTGGCCCCGGGGCAAACACGATGAAAAACAGATACATGTTCCAAACATACAAATAAACTTGCATATGTATGTGTGTATTGTCAATATACTTCTCAGTTTCAAGTCACGTTCCGAGCAGCGCACAAAAGTATGCAAAAAATCAAAATGACTTCACTTTTCTTTTGCGTTTTCCGTTTGTGTCTTGGCATTAAAAGTTTCGCTCAACATTTTACTACAGTTTTCAGTTGAGGCCCCCAAAAAAAAGAACAAATGTCATTTTAAAGTTCTGACTGCGCCACACTTTATCCCAGCTGCGGTCTTTAATGCTCCAACTCAGTCGAATATCCCATCCAAACTCTAATTAAACTCGAGCTGCTGCGTGGCCCACGTTTATAGAGACATTTTATTGACAACTGCAGACAAGCTGTAAAAACAAAGCGAACTAACTGAATGGCATCTCAAATACACTTCAAGCTGCTGCGGCACACGCCCCTCGAGTGCCTCCGCCTAAAAGGGTAAACGCATTAATCAAGAGCATAAATAATTGATGAGCCAACTTTTGGCCTTTTGCGAGGAGTTAATCGAATTCAGTGCTTGAGCAAATTGCGCACAGTCTGAGGTACACAAATAGCAGCTGGAAAACAAGTCGAATATTTAGCAGCTAGCATATTTATATATCCAACAGAAATTTCGCTGACATTTATAATTACAACGTTTTTTTGCTTTCTTTGATATTTTATGTATGCTAAATTCGAGTATAATTCAATCTCTGACAGGATTTACATCTTAAGCCGCACCCTTTTACTAGAAAAACAATTTCCTTAGCTTATTTCGCTTCGCGTATTTTGATGGCAAGTCTGAAATTCTCACCCTCATCTAAAAATTGACTTATGGCCTAGATTCAAAATATTATTAGATCAAGGCCAACCAAATATTCACCCATACGCGTGGCATACCTAGCTAGCTGGCACTCGTATTTCATATTCATTTACAAACCGAATAAAATTCCGACTTAAAATGTAAATCATGAATATTTGTAGTCGAATCCATTGTGGTTCCTGTCACGTGCCTTCTGCAATTGGCTTGGGCGATAGTCGAATCTCTGCGGCAAATGAATTTGGAATTTGGCATTTTGTTTTATACGTTTGCAGGAGGAAGAGGAAGGGAGGTTGAGGAGAAAGTCCTCACCTGTTTGCAATTAGCTGTGCGAAGGCAACTGCTGAAGGTTGGAATTTCTGCTTTCGCATTTGGCTGCAACAAAATCTGATTAGTATTAACTGAAGTAAATTGATTTAATTGATTAGCATGCATTTTAATTAAGCTAATTGAACTGACAGCAAATGCGGCAACACCTCAATAGCTGCCAGGGCCTGCACACCATCAATCGCTCAGCTCCCATGGCCATAAATCTGTCCCCAGCGCCATTCGCCTTGTCAAGCGAATTTATTATGCATATTTTTATAAAACCGACAGGCAGACAGACACACACACACTCAGACAGACAGCGACAATCAGCTCTGACACCTGCCCTAAATAAGTGCTGCAACGCTCATATCTTGGCTTGCTGGAACACCTTTGCTGCTCGGGGCGCACATTAAGTTGGTTGAATTCTGTTGCTCATATGCCATCCATAAACATTAGACGCGTCTCGCGACTCGCTTCTCTCACTCAATCAAAGGGCAACTGATCAAATAACATCAAGAATTTAGCACCTGTTGTAATACAGTGCCTGTCACAGCAGAAAACTTAAATTGTCAGCTCTGCGACGGGCGAGAGTTGGCTTTGATCCTGTTCCCTCTAGCTGCTGAGTTACTGCCAATTGGCTGTTCCTTTGATTTATTTGATTGACGGCTGCAGCACAAACTGACGACAGCTCAGCTCGGCTCCCAATTGGCCGGGGCTACAATTTGTCTTGAGAGGTGGAATCAAGTTGAGTAAACGGCATTCACTTGAAGCAAACTAACCAACGTTTGGCGCAGCAATTAGGCCCTCTCTTGCTCTCCACATAATATATTCAGTCTGCTCTGTTCTTTATGGCCGGGCATTGAATTGATTTCTTGGCCAGCCGCGCCCGGGCTCATGCTCGCTTTGGCATGCAAATTGACATGCTTTGAGATTTATTGGCATAAATTATAATGAAATAAAACATGTCTTGAGCCCGCCTCTGAGGATAATCATCGCGGGTCTGGGTTAATTGACGGCGCATTAAATGGTAATACACAAGGCCGTCTTCGTAATTTGTTTGTGCCGAGTGCTTGAAAACGGAAATTGAATTTTATAAACTTTGGCCATGGCTCCTATCTCACGAGGGGGCAGCAATTAATACTCCCGCCAGGTCGCCTACTCGACGGGGGCGACGAAAGGCTTTCGGCTCGGGCTAGTGGGCCAAAGTTAGTACGGACTCACTCGTTCGGGTCGATAGCGATGCGTCAGCTGGGAAACCCAAAACCAGAAAACTTTCTATGTACATCGCAGGAATATGAAAGCAGGAGGCAGTGAGGGCACTGTCAAAGCTGTTGCCGCTGCCGTTGTTGTTTCCGAGTTTGAGCGGCTGTTTCTGTTGCTGATGTTGCTTTTCGTTGTCATTGAAGTGTTTTAATCAATTCTGATTTAATTTTATGCCCAATTAAGTGTGAAAAGCGTTTGATGTTGGGCACGAGCGCACTGCGCCCCCAAACTCCACACACCTCCACTCACCTAAGCCCTCCCTCCAATCCCCTCTATTCGCAGCGTGTGCCGAGGGGCACGCAACCGTGAGCATTGAATATGCCACAGTTATGGCCCCTAACGAGATGGGGCAAACGACGATTTGGCTGCTATGTCACCGGAAGGCATCCATACATAGCTGCATTTCGGTTCACTACCCATGACGGTCTATTATGAAAGCACTCACTCACACACTCACGCAGACACTCACTCACACTCACACATGAATAACATTGTCATCAGAGCTTCCACAAGCAAGTCACACTTAAATAAGTTTTTGATTATGTATAAGTAGATGTTGTTGTTGTTGCTGTTGCTGCTCCTTCTCTATCTCTCTCTCTCTCTCTCTTTCGATGTGCACCTGTAATAATTGCTTCTGCTTAATGTATCCTCTGAGCATATATCTCTATTCTGTACTACTCCGCTCGTCTATACGATGGTAGCCGCTTCTAGTTGTTGTTGGCCTGTACTATCTCTTTAACCATGGTTCAAACTCTCTTCTTATGACAGAAACGAAAATTGCTGGCTAAGCGTTATCCAATAATCTTTATCAACAGCTACAGCAACAGCCACAACAACAGCAGCAGCAGCAGTCCGGCTCAGCCTCGACCCCTAGTATTTTGGAAGCACTAGTCTATATGACAGCCGATCCGATATCTTTATGCTTCTGGATATGCCTACAGGTAACCGCCAGCTAAGCTGGAGCTAAGCTAATATGTAATATATGAAAATGTTAAGGATTAAGGACTTCAAGTATCTTTAAATTAGCCTTGTTACGGCTCGGGCAGAAGCACCTGTAATTACCCAAGCAATTGCACCGACCACGTAACTCAGGAACATATACTTGTTACACATATAAAAAGACGTATACATTGTCTTGGCTCTTCGCTTGCGGTGGGTAAAGTTTCATGATAATGTGCGCAGCGAGATTTGGTTCCTAAGGGCGCGGTTGGCTGCTTCAGTGTTTCAGGTGTGTTTGAGCCATAAAGCAATTTCGTTGGAAATTTACGAGCCTCCAAGTTGACGCAGCGACGGCAACTGCGACGGTTTAGGGTTATGCCGGGGCTCGTTCACTGGACACCTTTACAAGTTATGGCTTTCATCTTAGGAATTCGTTTAACATGAAAGCTTTAGCCTTGACCAACACGCAGTTCGCATGTGTCCTTGTAAGCAAACATTCTTCAGCGCATCTCTTTGATAAAAACACAATTTTTTTATTCGATTTAGATACATAGATGAATTTCGTTATACATGCTTGTGATTTTGGGTGTCGGAGATTGGAGTAAGGCTCGAGCTTGAGCAATGGCATCCCAGCCATGTGAATACTTAAAATTAATATTAACTGTGTGTATGTGGGTGGTAGTGTCCGCAAGTAAGGCGTTTGGGGACTCTCACCAATTCTCGAGTTCCATGATTATTACAATTTCATGGTCCATCGATTGAATGTGATATGACGAGTACTGCATGCAATACTCTGCTAATTTCTTACTTTTCTTCGAGCGTCTATAGTGGCCGTCCGTTGTGTAAAATGCTCACTTTGAATTTGCAAAATGCAGAATGTTACAATATTTCACTTTGTATTGTCTGTGTGGATGAACATGTCTTTGTGTTTGGATTGCAGCAAATACAAACTAATCTTAACTATAACGATTAACTAGAATTGTTACTGGCGCCGTTGCTGGATCTGATCTGGCCTGATCTGATCAGACATGACCCGACACAGCCTGTCCTGCCCAGAGCAGACCGGACTAGACCAGCCCAGCCCTGCGCTTGGAAGGACAGCCACCTCTTCAGACCTCTGCCTACTAATTGTTGCACATACACATTGGCGTCATGTTGCGAACAAATATGCATCGCTTGTCGTTTTAAATTTGGTTAGCATGTGAAAAATTTTTTAAGGCTTTATGTACGATTTTTTTTTTTTCTTTTTTAATATTTTTAAATCATTGGCAAAGAATTTTGTTAAAATTTGATTCAAGAGATTCAAATGAGCCTTAAAAATTAAAACGCTGACACTTCTCAATCTGCCGAAATGGTCAGCGTTTTCAATCAGTAGGCAGGGCAGTGGTTCCGTGTCCTAAATACATTTTTGTATTTTTTTTTTTTTTTTTCTTTTTAACTGAATTTTCACTGATATCAAAAAGATTGAGTATGAAAAGATAACTAAAAACGAATTCCTTGTTAGTTGCGTTGCGCTTACACCGAGTAACGAAAGGCATCCAAAAGTCACCCAATCACACAGCGTTTGGGTTTTAGGTGTTTCATGTTATACGTATACTCAGAATGGCCTTAGCGTCGCTCGCGCTTGTTTGCGAGCCTGTTTTCAGTTTCAAGCTATTTCTGTGGGTTGTATTTTTGGTTATTACTCTCTCCACGCTTCGGCAGCGCAACAGTCCCCAAAACTGTTTAAGGTGTCTGTTTGTGTATTTGTGTGAGTCTTGTGCGTCTACGTATGTGTCTCAGACGGAACTAAATTAGTACACAATGAGCAGGTTGTTCTCGTTAAATCCGGCCGAATGCCCTGCATTGCGCACTATAAAATTGGATCCATCGAAGTGCATGCGCTTTTCATTGCGACTGCAAGGCAAAAAAACAAATAAGATAATTGAGATTAAGTGGGCAAGTGTGGATACGTACCGTAAAAACAGATGCGAGGTCTTGCCCAAGGAGGCGGTGCAATGGATGCCCAGGGTGGTCAGAGTGACCGATCCATTGCCAGGGCTGGTGCGAATCA